CCCTATGCATGAGTAACTATATGGATGTGTTCGCCTAAACATGATGAAGCTTTAGGAACAAAAATCATGAAATTTGGTGCAAAATTCAGTGTGATCTTGCACCTTGAATACGAACGGCTCTCGGTTAATCATCCCACCGGGACAATTAGCTGATGCCATCCATTTCTGTCTATCAAAAATGGATGACTTCAATTGAGACGAACAGTGGGTCACCTCAGCGCCCACATGAAAAATTCTGCAAATCGGTGGCTGCCGCATAACACTTCGACAACTTCGATGAATGAGTTGGCGCCACGTCGGATTAATAAGAAAATAGATTTTTTATATTTAATTAAATTTAGAAAAATCATAACTTTGAAAAAGAAAAATAAAAAAAATATATTTTTGAAATAAAATTAGAAAACTTTGAAAAATCATAACTTTGCAAAGAAAAATCACAAAAATAAAATAAAATAATCCTTGAACTTTGTGAGTCAAGGAGAAAAAAATAAAAAAAATAAAAAATAAATTGTTTATATTTTATTTTTAATTAATTAAAAACTCTCTTGGGTATTTTAATTAATAAAAAATAAATATAATTCCAAAATTCTACAATTCATAGAGATCATTCGTTTCATCCTTGAAAATGTCTCCTGATTTTTCTAAGGTCGGGAAAAATCCCCAAAATTAAATTGACTAATTTTCACCAAATTTTGTAATTATTTTTGAAAAAAAATAAAAAAAGCAGAAAATTGGAAATTAAAATTGAAATTATTTAAAAAATCCTTAGAGATTAATCTAATGACTAAAACTAATTTTCAATCCTTTTAAAGGTTTAAAATGACAATTTAGAACTTTAGGGGTCTAATTTGTGAATTTAAAATTTACATTTTAACCCAAAAATATTAGTTTGTATTATATGTCTTAAAATTGATCTGGTTTGGACATGAAATTAGGTCATATGTTGAGTCCAACTAGTTAGACCTAGTTCAAACCTAAAATTTGGATCTAGGTTATCCTAAACCCCATTAGACTTACTCAAATCTTTAAACTTTACTTACATTAAGCTTAAGTATATCTTAAACCAACTCTAATTATGTCTAAATCCCATTAAGCCTAATCAAATCCTTGAGCCTTACTTAAATTAAGTTTAAATACATATTAAACCCTGATTTGGTCTAAACCCCATTAGACATAATCAAACCCTTGAGCCTTACTTAAATTAGGCTTAAGTACATATTAAACTGATTAGGTCTAAGCCGCATTAGGCCTAATCGAACCCTTGAGCCTTACTTAAATTAGACTTAAGTACATATTAAACCCTAATTATGTCTAAAACTCATTAGGCCTCATCAAACCCTTAAACCTTATTTAAATTAGGCTTCAGTACATTTTAAACCCTGATTAGGTCTAAACCTCATTACTCCTAGTCAAACCCTTAAGCTTCACTTAAATTAGGCTTAAGCACATCTTAAACCCTAATTAGACCTAATTAAATCTTTAAGCCTTACCTAAATTAGGCTTAATTAATGTTGATACCATAATTAGGTTAAACCTAATTAGATTTAATTAAAGCCTTAAGCCTTACCTAACTTTGGCTTAATTAACCCTTAAACCCTAATTAGGTCTAACCCTAATTAGACTTAATTAAACCCTTAAGCCTAGCCTAAATTGGGCTTAATTAATCTTAAAACCTTAATTAGGTCTAAACTTAGTCAGACTTAATTAAACCCTTAAGCCTAGCCTAAATTAGGCTTAATTAATCTTAAAACCTTAATTCTTAAGCCTAGCCTAAATTGGGCTTAATTAATCTTAAAACCTTAATTAGGTCTAAACTTAGTTAAACGTAATTAAACCTTTAAGCCTTCCCTAAATTAGACTTAAGTAACCATAAATCCTAATTAAGTCTAAACCACATTAAAATTAATTAATCTCTTAATCTTTACTTAACTTAGGCTTAAGTAACCATAAATCTTAATTAAGTCTAAACCACAAGGATTTGGTTAGGTCTAATGGGATTAAGACCTAATCAGAGACATTTCCTTCTTAGAATTTAATAAAAGGTGTGAAAGTAATCCAATTAAAAGTTATGGAGATGAGGCTAGCCATGGTTCAAAACTAAGAAACAAACACACTCTAAGTTGATAAAATGCTTTGATGTTATGGCCATGACATCAATGGAAGTGGCAATATTGCTCTTGATTTGTCTAATTTGTCTTCAATGAATGTGACCATTTAAGGCTTTTCTTATCATGGACTGTCATTACAATTTGAAAATGTGATATGTTAAGTAACGTGTATTAATTCTCCAGTAGGGGTTCCCATTTTTTATGGTTGAGGAGGCAAATCCTGATTTTTCTCGTGGCTCATACTTCTTTTGTTTAGGTACTTGATTAGTATCCCCAAAATTTTTCTTATGCTTTCTTATGAGTGATTCAAATTTTTTTTTT